TTTTTCCTTTTTGCTTATGTGGTGCTGAGGAATCGAACCCAGGGCCTCAGGCATGCAAGGCAAGCGCTCTACCACTGAGCCACCTTCCCAGCCCTCTACTGGTAACTTTCATCCCATGTTGTTCCAAAGAACAAGGAACTCTGGATATTGCCAAGTATGCTATGGGGACAAAACTGCCCCTAGCTGAAAACTTTTGCCCACAGATGATTATTTTCCTTTTATTTTCTAATTTTGAAACACTTCAGGTATTGCTTTTCTCTCAAGATGCTTTTATGGGAATCACTATTCTCATTGCATTTTATTTTTAAAATCTTTATTAAATTTCTAGAAAGTTAGAACTTGAATAAATTAATGTCTTATAAATGAGTGGAAAGCTGTATTTTGTGATATTACATCCTATTTATCTTAGCAATATTTGTGATCTGTGCTACCTCTCAACATTGCTCCCAGTACTTGTATTTGAGTATCCGTATGAGACTGTGCACGATAATTACCTTTAAATTTTTGAACACAATTTTTAAAATTTCATGTTACTAAATAACAAAGTACCCTCAAATATAATGGATTAAACTAACAAATCACGGCATAGCATTCATACGAATGAAGGATTTGTTTGTACCACAGGCTCCCTACTGACTAGCCACCAGGGGAAATACTCCCCTGCCTACTGAGTAGGCCAATATTCCCCTGGTGGCATGGATACAAATGGCTGAAAGGTCCTACAGAGAGAGTTTCCTGAGGCCTGATTTATCTAAGAATACTGAGGCTAGTCCAGGATATCTGGTATGGTTATAACTGAAGCATATCTTCGTCTGTGGTATAATTGTCCTCTGTATCTCCTGGAAAGTCCACAGAGTGATTGTAAAGCATCCAGAAGAGCTGAATTACCCTGAGAGCTATTCAGCTAGTTGTCTATAAAGGACCTGCTTGTCTGACAATTCCTTGGTAAGGCTGTCAGACATAAGGGAAGGAAGGAACTGTCAACTAGTCTGTCATATTTACTGTGGTTTCATTGATCTTTTCTTATCTATGAGATGTTTGTCACAATTTACCTTTTCTAACTGGAAATCTTTTCTCTTTTACAGGGGATATTTCCTGCAAATTATATTCACTTGAAAAAGGCTATTGTCAGTAATAGGGGGTAAGTAATTGTCCTTACTAAATTTATTTATAATTATTATAGGTTGCAGAAGAATTCTATGTGTGTCTTTTTGGTTCATGGTATGAAGCATATTATTGACAAGTTTTTATATAGAAAATATATATTCCTTATTTATAATCTTGAGGATATAAATAAAAAATACAGTATCTGGTGAAGTAACTCTTAGTTGTGAATTTTATTAAAAAGATATATATATATATAGTATGCTAAAATATATGTGTACCATTTTGGGAGTAATTGATAGATTAGCAGCTTAGCAATGATTTTGTAATGTTTCTATATATCAAAGTGAAGGAAACTTAAGATCTTTTATTTGCAAGCAGAAATTGACCAATTTAGAAAAAAAATTTATATGATTCTGAGCATTGAACACAAAGCCTTATGCATGCTAGACAAGCACTCTACTAATGAGTTATGTCCAAGTTAATTTTTTGTTTTTTTGGTTTGGTCATGGGTTTATTGAAGATAAGAGTCTCATGGACTTTCCTGCCTGGCCTGGCTTTGAACCTTGATCCTCATATCTCAGCCTCCTGATTAGCTAGGATTATAGACATGAACCACCTGCACGGACCATTTTGTGTTTTTGGTTTCTGTTTTTTTGGGGGGAGGTCTGGTCGTGGGGCCTGAATTCTGGGCCTGGGTGCTGTCCCTCAGCTCAAGGCTAGCACTCTACCACTTGAGCCACAGCACCACTTTCGGCTTTTTTTTTCCCTGCTTATGTGGTGCTGAGGAATGGAACCCAGGGCCTCAAGCATGCAAGGTAAGCGCTCTACCACTGAGCCACCTTCCTAGCACCCATTTTGTGTTTTTGATACCACAATTTATATCTTATTATATGTCTATTAACAAATTATTTTAACTACCGTTATTTTCAATATTTTTAATTTTATATTTTTGTTGGTCGTGGGGCTTGAATTCTGGGCCTGGGTACTGTCCCTCAACTGTTGAGCTCAAGGCGAGTGCTCTCCCACTTGAGCCCCAGTGCCACTTGCGGTTTTCTGGTGGTTCATGGGAGATCAGAGTCTCACAGATGTTCCTGCCTGGGCTGGCTTTGAACTGTGATCCTAAGATCTCAGTCTCCTGAGTAGCTTGGATTACAGGCATGAGCCACCAGCACCCTGCTATTTTCAATATTTTTATCTTTTAATTTTTTATATCAGCAGTATGATTTTTACACCATCATTATAGTGTTATAGATTTTTCTGAATTTAGTACATTGTAAGTTTGAACATTAATTTTTATATTTTCACATCTTTTTTGTTGCCAATTAGCATTCTTTCAGTTTGACTTAAAGTGTTTTCTTTTTGCAGGACAGATTTACTAGGAATGAAGTTGCTTAGTTTTTGTTTGTCTGAGAAAGTTATTATTTTATACTATCATGTTAATATTTAGTGTCCTTTTATCTTTAGCTTTAAGAATTTCCTATGAGGGGGAGTGTAGTTGTGGAGATGGGAGGGAAAGGATGTAGGGGAAAAACAAAGGAGGAGGCAACAATGCTTGATAAGAAATGTACTTATTACTTTGCTCATGTGATTGTAACCCTCTGTACAGTATTTTCACAATAAAAAACTTATTTAAAAAAAAGAATTTCCTGTAGCATGTTTTGCCATGCAGAACTTTTGGTTTTCTGAGAAAGTCTTTATCTCTCTTTCTTTTGTGAAGGACAGCTTTGTCCTGTTAACATTTCCTTCCTTTAAAATTTCAATTAAACACACTGAAAAGTGAAACAGTATTGTGGAGTTTTATCAAAGATAATGTGGTTATTTGTGTGGCTCTGGTTCTAGGCAATATGAAACTGTGGTTCCACTTGAAGATTCTATTGTGACTGAGGTTACAGCAACTTTACAAGAATGGGCCAGTCTGTGGAAACAATTATATGTGGTAAGTAATTGATTATAGCTTAATTGACCACTAAAGTTAAGTTGTACCAAATTAAGAAAATTATCCTGTCTGTTTTGTAGTTGGAAATTTATGAGTATTTTTAGTTTTCCAAATGCATGTGCTTAGTATTAGCTGAAATGTAGTAGACTGAATTCTACAGTACTACAAAGGAACAAAAGAAAAGAATGAGTAATACTTGCATTTTCATCTCAAGGGTATCATGCTGCATAGAAATTCAATTTCATAGAGCTGTATATACTATGACTTTGTTTATATAACATTCTCAGATGACAAAATTTACAGCGATGGGATAGGTCTGTGTTTACCTCACACATTATACTTTTTGCTCAGGATTGCTTTCCAATCAGATCTTTGGTGCTACCATATTAATTTTAGTACTTTTCTATCAGAATCGTACTAACAAAACATAAAAGCAGACATATAGATCAACAAAAGAGAAGATCCAGATAGCTATAGAAGATCACACACAGCTACAGTCATCTACTAATTTTTGGTAGTATTGGGGTTTTTAACTCAGCACCTTGCACTTGCTAAGCAGGTACTCTACCCTTAAGCTTTGCCCTCCTGACCCTTTTTGCTTTAATTATTTTCCAGGTAGGACTGTACACTTTTTTGCCCAAGCCAGCTTGGACTGCAGTCTTCCTACTTACACTTCCTATGTTGCTAGAATTACAGTCATGTTCTACTACATCCAGCTTATTGATTGTCTCAAGGTTTTCCCAGTCTTTAGCCAAACTGCTTTGAATTGTGATCCTTCTGATTGACACTTTTCCAAGTAGCTAGGATTGTAGACATTAGCCACAGTGCCTGGCTAGCATTTGAGTTTTGACAAAGGCACCAAAAAATATATATTGGAGAAAAGACAGACTCTTCAACTAGTAGTACTGGGAAAAATGGGTGTCCATGTATAGAAGACTGAATCTATACTGAATGGGGAAAAGCTGAAAAATGTTTCCTCTAAGAATGTTATATCCAGGTGCTGGGAAGGTGGCTTAGTGGTAGAGCGCTTGCCTCGCATGCATGAGGCCCTGGGTTCGATTCCTCAGTACCACATAAGCAAAAAGAAAAAAGCCGGAAGTGGCCCTGTGGCTCAAGTGGTATAGCACTAGCCTTGAGCTGAAGAGCTGAGGGACAGTGCCTAGGCCCAGAGTTCAGGCCCCACGACCAGACCCCCCCCCCAAAAAAAAAAAAAAAAAAGAATGTTTTATCCAGGTGCCGTTGGCTCATGCTTGTCATCCTAGCTACTCAGGAGGCTGAGATCTGAGTATCATGGTTATAAGACAGCTCAGACAGGAAAGTCACTGAGACTCTTATCTCCAATTAAGCACCAAAAAAAAGCAGGAAGTAAAGCCAGCCTGGACAGAAAAATCCACATGAAACTCTTAACTCCAGTTAACCACTCAAAAACCAGAAGTGGACCTGTGGCTCAAAGTGGTAGTGCGCTAGCTCTTGGGCCAAAGAGCTCAAGGACAGTGCCCAGGCCCTGAGTTCAAGCCCCATGATCAACCAAAAGAAAAATAATATAATAATATTCTTGTATTATTCACTATATTAGTGAAAGTTAGAGCCATGAGAAAAGAGATACAAATGAAAGGCATTCAAATAGAAAAGGGAAGAGACAAACTTCTTTATTATAGAAGATATAATTTTGTATTTAGGTAAAGCTAAAGATTCCATCAAAGATTATTAAAAGTGATACATGAATAACTGTGCAGGATTCAAAATCAACATAAAAATCAGTAGCATTTTTTACCCTAATGAGTTTGTTAAAATAGAAACAATTGAAGTAATACCATTCACAATAGCTATGGAATAACAACAAAAACAAGAAAACACCTAGGGACAGTTTTATTCAAGAAAAGACCTCCATAGTAAACATTTTGAATCACTGAAGAGAGAAATAGAAGGCACAGCAAACAGGAAACGCTTCTTGGGTTGGAAAAATTAAAAGTTAAAATTTTCTTACTTCCCAATGATATTGACAGGTACAGTGTGATCTACCAAATTGCATTCTTCATAGAATTAGGACTTTCCTTAAACCCAGTGAATTTAAAAGGACGCCAAAAAGCCAAAGTAATCAGCTGGGCAGCAGTGATTCACACCTGTAATCCTAGCCACTCAGGAGGCTGAGATCTGAGGATGGCAGTTCAAAGCCAGCCTGCACAGGAAAGTCCATGAGACTCTTATCTCCAGTAAATCACCAGAAAACTGGAAGTGGTGCGGTGGCTGAAGTGGTAGAGTGTGCCAGCCTTGAGTTGAAGAGCTGAGGGAAGCTCAGTGCCCAGTGCCAGCTGAAGTGCCCAGGCCCAGAGTTCAAGCCCTACAACCAGGAAAAAAAAAGCCAAAGTAATCTTTCTTGAGTAGAAAGGACAAAACTAGAGGCATCATACCTTATTTCAAGATATATTGTTGAGACAGCATAATAGTGGCATAAAAACATACATAGAACACTGAGTTACAATAAGGATCCTACAACTAAACCCACATACATCCATCTTAACAAAAATGCCGAAAGCACAGCCACTTTAAGAAATGGTGCTAGAAAAGCGGGATATGCCAGAAGATTGAAACTTGAACCTTTCACCCTATGAATGGGTTGTATAATATGTATGTATACATACTCTCACAAAAACGTAACAGTGAGATAAGATATAGTGCTTATTCACAAGTAATACCACTTTTTGCTTTTCAACAAAACCGAGATTTACACTTAGCCTCAATATCTCTCAGTGACTAATGGATTTTTTTTTTTTTAACAGTTCATTCAATTCTAGCCTACAAGGGTTTGATACCACTTCTAGGCAGCTCTGGCTAAGATTTGGCCTTCTGATACACTTTGCTAAAACCCAAGACTTGTCAGGTTCCCATAGGCAAGTGTAAGCACTGGCAAATCATTATCTTTTTACTTCAGTGTACAACTTAGTTTCTAGTTTACTAGCCTATCCTCTCAATCATATGTTTTGCTTTTAGTTTTTATTTTTAGTTTTTTGGGGGTCCGGTCGTGGGGCCTGAACTCTGCCTGGGCGCTGTCCCTCAGCTCTTCAGCTCAAGGCTAGTGCTCTACCACTTGAGACACAGCACCACTTCCGGCTTTTTTCTTTTTGCTTATGTGGTGCTGAGGAATCGAACCCAGGGCCTCGAGCATGCAAGGCAAGCGCTCTACCACTGAGCCACCTTCCCAGCCCTGCTTTTAGTTTTTTTGTGAAATGTATCTTTCTCCACATATTGTACATAATAGGTAGCTCATGTGGATGATTCTCAACATCCACATCCACTTGTAATATGCTTGGATTTAAAAATAAATAAACACTGCTGGCTATTGGAAGCTCGTGTTTCTTTTTGAGACAAGGGTCTTTTCCTTTTTTTTTTTTTGGTGCTGGTCCTGGGCCTTGAATTCAAGACCTGGGCTCTGTGCCTGAGCTTTTGTGCTCAAGGCTAGTGCTCCAACACTTGAGCCACAGCTCCACTTCCGGATTTTTTTTCTTTTGTGGTTAGTTGGAGCTGAGAGACTCAAGGACCTTCCCAGTTAGGCTGACTTCCTAACCGTGATCATCATATCTTAGTGGTGCCAGCTCCGTTCCCTTTTATTAATGAAAATGGCTTACTATAAACTCAAGACCTTTTATACATTTGTAGCCATTTTGTGTTCTCAGCCTCTTGAAGTAGGCACTGGGATCCTTGCTTAGTATTAGGAATTGTACTGTTAGGTCATCTTAATAACACACTACCAACAATGTTCTTTCTTCTACTATGAACTATCTTTTAGCGTTAACAGTTGATGGATGAACAATCTGGATTATTTTTGTCTGAAACATTGTTTCAAACCATCCCCAGAGTCACTAGTTTTACATTGATTAATCCTCTTTGTATCTCCATATTTGGCTTCATGGAGTTGACAAACATCTTTTATCCTTGTACCATCTAAAGACTTTGTGGCCCATATCATGACTTTTTTGAACCTGTGTAGATGTATTATTAGTATAAAAATAATATGAGCCAGGCACTGGTGGCTTACACCTGTAATCCTACCTACTTAGGAGACTGATATCTGAGGATCATGGTTCGAAGCCAGCTTGGGCAGGAAAGCCCATGGAACTCTTTTATTTTTTTTGGGTCCGGTCGTGGGGCTTGAACTCTGGGCCTGGGCACTGTCCCTCAGCTCAAGGCTAGCACTCTACCACTTGAGCCACAGCGCCACTTCCGGCTTTTTTCCTTTTGCTTATATGGTGCTGAGGAATCGAACCCAGGGCCTCATGCATGCAAGGCAAGCGCTCTACCATGAGCCACATTCCCAGCCCCACCCATGGAACTCTTATCTCCAATTAACTACCAAAAAGCCAGAAGTAAAGCTATGGCTTACTTTGTAGAACACTAGCCTTGAGGAAGCACAGCTCAGGGACCCAGCACCCAGACCCTGATTTCAAGCCCTAGCATGGGCATGAGCATGTACACACACACACACACACACACACACGCACACACTCACGCGCACACACTCACACACACAGTATTCAGTTGTTAGTCCTCACTATGTATATCAATACAACAGGAATCTATAGATATATGCTTGCGCCTAGCTTGCACTTAGAACATTTTCTTCATTAATGATGAGATTACTTAGCTTGTTTTGGATTATTTGTTACTTTGCTAATAGTCATTGAGAATTTTAGCTAGAGCTTTTAGATTTGTTAAGCTACTTTAAGACAGTCTTGGGAAAGAATATTTGATGCAAAATAGGAAATGAAGTAATACTAAAATAACACTAGAAAATTGATGCCTGAGACCGCACTACTCTCATGATTCCATACAACAGAGTAGATTTTGTTTCACTTGCCATTGGATATCATTATAATCCAAGGCTGTTTTATCACAATGTTCCTTTACAATATTCTGCAAAAAATGTTTTGTCAGATAAATGACATTCTTTTGAGTAAATATTGTTTGGGTTGAGTTGTTAGTCTTCTTTTAAGCACAGTTTC